TCAATGATAAGAAGAATTACCATTAACACCATTGATCACCTTCTCGCTCCCCACACTACCATCCTTAACCTCTTGATCATCATCAGAATCCAACGTAAAGTTCTCCAAAGAATGCATCTCAGCACCAAGATGCGTATACTTCAAACCCTCGGTCGAAGAACGTCCCAAATCTCCGATTTTGCCACAAGTGAAGGAATAAAAAGCAACAAGCACAACAACCATAAGAGCAAGATGACAATTAAACTGAAGCGTCGCAATAGCCCTAGCTCTATGATATTCCGGATGCCCCTTACATCTCAAAGTATAATTCCCTTTACTAAAAAGATGCAAATTACACCCTTCCGCAACAAAATTGGAAGAAAACAGAGAAAACCCCATTTGAACAAACCAAGTTCCTTGCAAAATAAGGCCAATTCCCCGTCCCAATTTGGGAACATTGGATTCGTAAGATCCCAAATCAAGCAAAGTAGAGAAAACACAAATAGCAATAGGAACTAACAACAAATCATAATACCGATTCTCAATTCCGGTGGGATCTTTTCTCTGGAGATAAAACAGGAGAAATTCTTCGGCGAAACCGAAGGCGGTGATTAGGTTAAGCAAAGGCGAAGGGAGAAAAGGAAGAAAGAGGGAAAGAAGAGAGTGGATTAGGAAGAGTGATGAGATTGGTAGGGTTTGGAGATGAAGTGGTAGCGCAACGGCGTCGTTTGAGGTGTATGCGTTGAGAATTGAAATGATTGAGGATAGTGTGATGAAAGAGGTGAAGATTGAGAGAGTGATGTGGAAGAGTTTGTTGAGTTTGTTGAGTTTGTTTGGTTGAGAAGCGCGGAGAGATTGGAGACAGCCTAGGAGGATGAAACCTGCGCCTGTTGAGGCAAAGGAAATGAGTCCCATTGGTATGAAGGAAATGGAGTTTCTGATGGGTTTTGGGGAAGAAGGTTCTCTATAAAAAGAATTTTGATTCTCTTTTTACTCCTTCATTAAACCCATTCATTAAAAAAATTGATCTCTAGTGATATTTTTTCATTTTTTATTTAAATTTTAATCCAGGTGAATATTTAACTCAGGTAAATGACCAATTTATCTGTATTTAAAATTTAAAATATAAATAATAAAAAAAGAACTTTCAAAAATTTTAAAATTAAAAATTGTCATCATCTTTTTTGTATTACACTCTTGAAACACAAAAACCATGTTCTTTGAACGTTCAACTGCAACATTGTTGCAATAAAGTCGCTTCAATTGGTTGGATTCTTCTGACATTTCGTTCACGTTTCTGTTGACATATTGTAATTTCGTCTTCTAGTGTAACAAGAACAAGCATTAGTGGTATCAGAAATGTATAAATCTCATTAGTTTGTATAATTTCCAGTAGTCTTAATGGAATGGGTCAGTAAAATCTAGTTTTCCAAAGTTAGGTTTTCACTGTGTGGGTAAATTGTGTTTCGTTTCATTAAACTTGTTGGTGTAAGTCCTAGAGGTCATATTTTTGGTACTTGTATCGAATTATTTATTAATAATAAAAGCTATTTTTTTTTTATTATGTTTGTTATTCCAAAATAAAAAAGTCTCTAGAATATCTAGTTTGTTTAATGAAATATTAAGTGTGACTTAATCATGAGATTCCATTAAACATAAGGACATTGTTCTTAAAGTATCTGTAGTCGAGTTTTATTGTGAAGTGGGATAACCTTAAAATATTAAGACTATTATGTAGATAGACTGATGATCACATCTCATGAATCATGGATAAGGAGTTATCAAGTCTTAACATAGTTATGAATATTAAGAGTAATATTTATACTGAATTGACCCGCTATGAGAGTACTACATAGAATGTTATGCAAAGTGTCATAAGTTACTCGCATGGTAATAGTGGTGTATACCACCCTTCGACCTGAAACCACTATGGATCCTAGATGTAGAGTCGAGTACTTTATTGTTGATCAAACATTGTCCGTAGCTGGATGACCATAAAGACAGTTGATGGGTACTCCACAAAGCATGATGAGGGACATGAGTGACCTAGATGAAATTTGTCCATCATGCGTAATAGGATAAAAGTCTAAGGGCCTATTATTGAACTGGACAAGGATAACACGGTATATGCCTTGTGTTCAATATAGATATAAGGGTAAAAGGGTAATTGTACACACAAGTATTATCATAAAAGATTTTGTCAACTCACATGACATTTTCGTGACTTGGGTAGTAGTGATATGTTGTTAGATACCGCTAACTATTTATTATGTTAAATGTATGATTTAATATAATTGTTAACGTCGCGAAAACCTACAGGGTCATACACATAAAGACAGTTTGATAAGAGGTAGAGTAAATAAGGAACACCATAAGATACAGTGCACTTAAGTAAAATACGAAATGTGGTAAGGTACCACACGCTTAAGTAATATACGGTACACCATAAGATATGGTGTGCGTGCACTTAAGTGGGCTTTTTAGCTTGCAGCCTACGCAAGTGGTTCGAGAAATAGAACCCTTGTGCAGAAGCATTCACACTTAATGAAATTTCGGTCGGTGAAACCCTAACCGTATTTTCCTTCTCCCTCATTCAAAGCCTTCAATCGTAACAAGTAGCACTAAGACTGAAGGAATTTGTTTGTGTGGACTGAGTAGAGGCGTTGTTCATCATACATCGCTTGTGATCACTCCTTCGATTCAGAATCAAAGGTTTCATCGCCACAAGAGGTAATCATTCTATCACTGATCATGATCATTCGTAAGGATCACTAAAGGGAAATTTTTATTTTTCGCTGCATTTTAGATCACATATTTACCTTTAGTGGTATTAGAGCCACTTACAAAACCATGCATCTGATAACTGTTTATTTTCTGTCTTTATGTTTTAATTTTATTAAAACACAAAATAAATTAAATTATAATCGAGTAATTGAATTTGGGCATCAGGCTACATACAATTTGGATGATCGATATTGGCTATGCTTCGGAATCTGACATTAGTATGGTGAAGCAGCGATATATCGGTCTTTCTTAAGTTACACAAATATAATCGTTCAAATTTTTATATGTGATATAAGTAACTCTGATACAAAGATGGTATATTGGATATACTGTTTCTATTTTGTCCATTCAATCACGTAATAATTGTTGTTCCTTTGAGCGATCCATGTTCATTTGCTTCGGAATCTGACGTTAGTATGGCGAAGCAATGACACGTCGATCAATCATACTGAATTTTCTATCATGGTGTTTTGATGGTATGAAATTGTTGCATTAGGGTTCATGACGACACAAGGGTTGTAATGTCAAAGAGGTTTGTGATTAGGATTGTGACGACACAAAAGTTGTGCTTCAATGTTTATGGAAAGTATCATGTGTTGATGCGAAAAATGACGCCGATTTCAAATGGATTTTTCATTAAAAGGAACTCCTGGCTACTCTACATAGTGTGATCATTTTTTGAAATTTAATTTAATTTATTTAATTAACAGGATTTGAATTAATAATAATAAAATGTATTTATTATTGTTCTCTTGTGGTGATCAGTTATGGCCTTAGTTTCCCTTTATTTTGTTTTGGGATTTTAAAATATGACCTGTGTGTCGTGCCTCTCTTTTAATCTTTAGATGTAACTTATTTTCTCATCTCACTCTCTCGTATGTAAAATGATTATTCTTTGATGTAATGTAATATTATGAAGAAAGAGAAGAATACAAGATCAAAAGTGGACAACCTTGGAGATCAAGCTTGGAGAAGCGTAGATCGTTATTAGGTTTAGCTTGGATTCTCTCATTGGCTTGGGAGAACAATTATGCTAGGGGTCATAACTGTTTCATTTGTATGTATGTTGATGCATGTGAATGTATGTTGATGTTGTGAGAGACGATTTATATGATAAATAAACCGGTGAGATCAAACATATTGAAAATTCCCTCGAAATTGTATATTAAGTTTATTCTTTCTAAGTTTTAGAACTCATCAAGACTAGTATCGAACAATGTAGGTTTCGCCTAACGTGAGGTGCATGTTCTATATTAGTAAGGTGAACTGGGATAAATGTAATATCCAATTTCTAAAACAATGGGTCAAACTTAACTAAGCAAATTATAATAAGGTTATATACGTTTAGAAGTAAGAGTTGGGAATGATCCATATGATGGATTAGAATAAGGAGTTATTCACCCAACTGAAAATATTTGAGAATTGTATTAGATACAATTGGAAGGAGTTTCTACCTAAATAACCGAGTTTTGTGTAATCATCCTAACACTAACTTAAAACAAAGTGAAATATGGATCTCGATCTACTAGAAAATCTTCCAACGGGATTTTCCGAATCAAATGGTGAGGGTCATTTGGTTTGAGTAAAATAGTGGGAGCCTATTTAATTAAAGGCCTAATTGAATATGTTGTTTTCTATTGATGCATATAATTTCATATTTTTTCATGTAGATTACCATGACAACAAACACCTCTAACAACATTTTAAGATCAATTCTTAATAAAGAGAAATTGTCTGGGACAAATTTCATGGATTGGCACTGAAACCTGAGGATTATCCTCAAACATGATAAAAAGTTGTATGTCTTGGAGACACTTTGTTGCACCTTAAAATTTTCTCAACCTACTTCACTTGGTTTATGTTTCAATTGCATTAGCATTTGCATATTAGATCATGTACATAATTAATTCATCTGCATAGCATAGCATGGGCAAGCCATCCAACAAGGGACCAAGTGCAATTCTTATCCTTATGGGCATATCAAGAGATTCTTATTCAAATTCAATCTCATCCAAGTCATCAGAAAGAAATTGAAATCTGAGAAGTTAGTGGACCAAGCAGTGGATCTATCTCCTATCTTGAGGGTATTTGAAGATCATCAGAGAAGTTGTGAGTCATGAATTGAGGCCATGGAGTGTATACATGCATCATGGAGGACCTAGAGGGTCATTGTGAAAGTAAGACAAGTCATTGATGTGATTACAAGAGCTGCAGTTGAAGACAGTCAGCTAGGGTTTCATCTGGGTCAACCCTAGGTCAAACGCTTGATTGAAGGGCATCAAGGCCTGTTTGAAAGATGTGGGATGCCTCATTTGACATGTAGATATGGATGTGGTGTTGTTCCAAGGAGGAACAAAGGGAATCAAGAAGAAGAGAAGTTTCTGAGTTAGGGTTTCTGTGTAAAATCCCCTGATTTAGGGCAAACTTCCAAGCAAGATAATTCAAAATGAAAGTCTCAAATGGATCCTTGGACAACATAAAACTTGTAGAGGATCCCAAGACCTTTAATTTGAGTGGTGGAAGACATCAAGGAGATTTATAGAACTCAAGTTATGGTCCTTGCAAGTTACAGGTCGTCAGAGGCATCTGAAATTTGTCTGTGGAAATTACTAAACTTCCAAGCAACTTTTACCCCTCAAGGAGCTTTCAAATGGATCTCTGGCCAACATGAGAGTTGTTCCTCATGATCTTAGCTTTCTATAAAGGTATGATATGCCTTCATATGATTTGTGGAACTCTACTTATGACTTTGGCAAGCAAAGGGCATTTTGGTCATTTGGCAGGTATAGGTCATTTCAAGCATATGGCCATATCTCCTACTTTCAAGCTTCAAATGGAAAAACCTTAAGCATTAAAGTTGCTTAGAATGATGTTTTAAGGCTAGTAGGGTGGTCATGAGATGTTGGAAAGGCTCATAAAAAAAAGTGATAAAAATAGCCTAAAAATGGGACATAAGTTAATTCAAGTGAAATGGAAAATCCTAAAATCCAAGTTCCAAATCCAAACCATGGCATATGATAGGTTATTTTGACTCCCAAGGACATTTTAAGAACATTGGTTCAGCCACAATTTTGATTTGAGGCTTAAATCTTGGGGTTGCTTTGTAAAAGTCTTACTTGCATAATGACATA